AAATATATTAAAGAAGGAATTAATATCACTTGATAATTTAAGCAATCAAAAATTACAAATCTGTGGTATTTCACTCGCTGGATGGAACAGAGTGAATTAAAATTTTTCGTTGCTAGGGGAAAACGAGATATCAGATATCCCTTTCAGCTCGTGTGAATTTTTTATCACAACTTTGATTGTTGTCTGTTGACATGTTCGACATACGACATTTCACAGAAACCCGGCTCATCAAAATTCCTTTGCGATGAATGTGTTCTGTTCACAATTTATGCAAGAATTTGCCACAATGGCTGTTTGAATTTTGACAATTGCTTATAGGATAAGATTAGCTCTAACGCTTAGCTAATTACTGCGTCGCGCACTGTGCGAACGCAGTCTAAAATTGCCGTCGATGTTTTGCGTTTTCGACCCGGTCTTCCTGGCCGCCCCGGCCAACTAAGATACTCGTATTTTTAAATCGTCTGATTTCGTATCGAAATATTTTCGTGCTAAACACACTTCAAATAGTATTAACCTAAGCCTAGTAACCCCCACAAAAGAAATATTTTACCGACACAAAAATTGAAAAAGTTTGTTGTCGCCGGGATTCGAACTCGGGTCGTGCGAACCAAAAGCAGGAAACTGCATGCACGATGCACGCCCATATAAAATAAAACGTACACGAGTCGCTGTGCATGGCCGATAGCCCAGGAAATCTAGACGTCTGTCGTTCGAGAAAATACGTACAGGTAATCATAATGCTGGATTCTCGTCTTGTCTTGTTTGATATGCTCACTCTACTTACACTAGCACACATGCACTAATCGTGGTTAACCTACACTAAAACGGGTTTACAGAGTACAGACAACGATCACATGAATCATGAAAGCCTTGTATGCTATGAAAGCCTTGTATGCAATTCTATGCCATTTTTCAATCAAACCGCACCTTCCTTTTAAGGGTAAAAACGGCCAGACCGATCCTATTGAATTTCAGTACAAACAGATTCCTAGAGTACATGATTCCAAACTCAGCCTTATTCACGTATATCGCTAGCTACATCTGTCTAGCACCAATAATGCAGTTTAACCCCAATATTCTGTACGAAGTGCTCTATTTACTAGTAACCCTAAGAAAGAAACATTTTTCTAAAGGAATAAATATTGACAGGGAATGGGGCACAGTTGCACGCAACGATTGACGCGACGCAGTTACCGCCAGAATAGGCGTCTTGTATTTCAATGTAATGTGAAACTAAAGCTCGCCGCGGACGGCACAATGGCGGAAGTTACACGCGAACTTGTAGATCGTAGCAAATTGGTTACAACAAGAATGCTCGCGTGCGGGGAAGAATTGCGGTACAATCTGTGGTCTTAATTTGCATGCTTTCAGAACAACTTCTCGTTCGTTGAACGCACACTGGGAATTATTGGGGTTGCAGTTTCTTTATACACCCTGTATACCGTAAACAGCCCAAAGTGATGTCGGGACAATTTGATTTGTTTTGATTTGCTTATCATCTTTCACTCCAACTGGTTAGTTGGAGAAGGGATTCGTCTTGAACAGTACAACATTCAGCAGGGCCAGGCATAGCAGTGGTATTAGCTATAGTTAGTAATTATTGGCTAACGTGAATAACGTGTATATTTACGTATAATTGATATTGAATATAAATTGATTTGTATATGAAAAATGCTATTAAAACAACCATTAAAATAACCAATGTTATTTCTCTGAGCGGCATAAAAAAATTAGGATTTATACTTACCCCATGACCATGCACTCTCAAGATAACAAAACATAAGATCACAGCGAATATCCACGAAATGGACATCATTGTTATTCTTAAACCTATTATTTTGCTCATTCAGTTCTCTGCCCTTGTATACTGACTATCAAACTTATTGTTTTGCTTAATGCTGGCAGAATATAAATACGTAGGAAGTGTACTAAAATGAGCTTTTTGCTGAAACGAAATAAATTATCTTTATCATCTCAACAATGAATTATTGCACAAGGATCGTAACCTCAATAATTTGATCTTTATCCTGTGCAGTATAATTATAGATAACTAAATTACGGTGAAAAAATATTTAAACAGTAAGTTAAACATAAAAAAGAAAACAATTTAAGCTCAACCGCCTCAACGGTAGTGCATTCCTAACTCAGTTGCTGCAATCATTGTTTAATTAATACATGCATGAGGTTGTCAACGAAAGAATGCATGAAGTGAAAAACGACAATACTGACATCACCTCATTTTAAACAGTAACCTCTATGATCGTGATGTGGAATGTGGAATTCTTGGTTAAATTGACACAACAAGCTATGAGTGTACATGGGTGGGGTGTGACACCGGATAAATTTATGTTTATCAGACGTTTCAACCCAAAAATCTAATCCCTGGTTCACAAATGTGCATTTCTGTACCACAAAATCTTAATTAAGTTCAATTTTTCTTCTGAATACGCTTTCTGCAATCTTTTGACCATTCATCATACACATCTGACAGCTGTGAAATGGCCATTTTAAGGCTTAAAGTATACACAAGGTTATTAATTCAGACGATTCGTTTTTACCGTGTGCAAGATTTAAATCTTTTGTGCAAGACATATATTTTCTTGAATATATTTAAATATTTTTTCTCTCCATGTTTGAAGTCTAAGTATTGAGAAATGCGGCTAAGTCTATACCAATTTCCACGGTGCCGTGAGGTGTGAGTAATATTGTGTAATATTTACTGAAATACTTCTTTATTTGCATTTTTCCACTGAAAATGAACATGCATTATGCGCGTTTGCTGTCGTGTAACGCAACATCCAAATTTTGTTTATTAAAGATTTTGCACTAGCCGCACGTCTTTAAGCTTTAGAAAATATTGCATATGAACATTGATACACCAGAATAGCAGGTACGAAATTGACTAAGAAGGAAAGGAATTTCGTGGCGTTAACAGAAAGGCACTGATTATGGTATGAATGTGTGCACGCGGTTGATAGAAACTGAGACAATGTTGCTGCAATCCATGCAAAATATATTTTGCTATACATCTTTTTCCGAACACAAAATATTTCGTATCGAAACGAGTCCTGTAAAGAAAAGCATGCGCTGAACGAAATGAAATGAAATGATACAGATGCAGCTTTTCCCTCTGGTTTCGCAGTTATTTAGCCCGACAAAACATTATATTATATTGGCAAAAAAGTTAAGTAATCAATTTGTGAGACACGTATGTCTTTTCAGTGAAAAGCTAAGAATTTGAAATGGAAAATTTCAAGAATGTTATATTAGCAAAGTAATTTTCCATAGCATATGCAATTGTGATGTCGATCACCTACACTTTGCGATTTGTGTTCATTTAATATAAATGTGGCCAGGTCCACATATTTACTTATTCATAATTATGTAGATTACGCAATTATTGAATTTCGTTATATCGCTCATCTAGATTAAATATTAAATTACTCATTTATTTCCTGTAGATCGGATAATACGTGAGACCAAATGGCACCACGAGGCGGACATATATAGCCTAAGTTTCGGAAATATAGTAAAGTAGAGTAGCTGTCGGGTAAGTTCAGTTTTACTTGTCTGTGATAAATAGGAACATATCATTTAAAGTACTAGTGAACTGGATATTGCATGTTGTGTTGCCAGTGTTGGTCATGGTATAGCTATAGTGTGTAACTATATATGCTATATTACCTTACAAAACAAGAAGCGACCGCTCGCTATAAAATCATCCGGGTTTGAATATGAAATGCAAGTATTTAGTATTTGCAAGACAACCATTGTCGGTAGTACTTTGTCAATATCTCTCTTGTTGTAAATACTGACGACTGAGGGGTTGCATTACGTACAAATAAAAGTGCTATACAGCATGCGAGTCATAAATATATTGAAAGAAGGAATTAATATCACTTGATCGTTTAGGAAATAAAGAATTACAAATCTGTGGTATTTCACTCGCTGGAACAGAGTGAATTAAAATTTTCGTTGCTAGGGCAAAACGAAACTACAGATATCCGTTTCAGCTCGTGTGAATTATTTATTGTTAACTTTGATTGTTGACATCGTTCGACATCGGACATTTGACATAAACCCGGCTCATCACCCTCACTTACTTTATCTCCTAAAATGCTTTCATATAATTGAATTGTGTACAATGGGTACACAGATCATATTCCTGTCTTACGAACACGCTAATATAAATTGGTTGAACCATTGGCCATTCTTAATTAATTCGCCTCCATCTTCTTTTAACGCATTGTTAAATGTCATTTTAAAAATTACGATGTTCTCAAAAATTCTATGCGATGAGTGTGTTCAGTTCACAATTTATGCAACAACTTGCCATTAGGGCTGTTTGAATTATGACAATTGGTCATACGATAAAATTAGTTCTAACGCGAAGCTAATATTTCAATGTGATGTGAACCTAAAGCTCACCGCACACGGCACAATAACGGAAGTTACATGCGAACTTGTAGATCGTAGGAAATTGGTAACAACAAAAATGCTCGTGTGCGGGGAAGAATTCCGGTACAATCTGTGGCCTTTGCTTGCTTTCAGAACATTTTCTCGTTCGTTGAACGCACACTGGCAAACCAACAACAAAAAAATCGCAGTCCCGTAGGAATTATTGGGGTTGCAGTCTTTTATACGTAGGGGTTGCAGTTTTTATACACCCTGTAGCCAAAAACAGCCTAAACTGATGTCGGCACAAGCGTTCTCCAACTGAATACTACCCGGGAAGCGGGCTTATTTTTTTGCTTATTATCTTTCATTCCCAGAAGAAGGGATTCGTCTTGAACAGTACAATATTCAGCAGGACCAGTCATAGCATTATTGTATTATTTAGCTAATTAATGATTATTAGCTAACGCGAATAAGGTGTATAATTACGTAAATTGATATTGAATATAAATTGGTTTGTAGATGAAAATACGATTAAAACAACCATTAAAATAACCAATGTTATTTTTCTGAGTAGAATAAGAGATTATAGGACTTATACCTACCCCATGACCATGCACTCTCAAGGCCACAAAGCATAAGATCACAGCGAATATCCACGAAATGGACATCATGGGTATTCTTAAACCTACTATTTTGTTCATTCAGTTCTTTGCCCTTGTATACTGACTATCAAACTTATTGTTTTGCTTAATGCTGGCAGAATATAAGTACGTAGGAAGTGTACTAAAATGAGCTTTTTGCTGAAACGAAATAAATTATCTTTATCATCTCAACGAAGAATTATTGCACATAAGGATGGTTACCTCAATAATTTGATCTTCATCCTGCGCAGTAATTATAGATAACTAAATTACGGTGAAAAATATGTTTAAACAGTAAGTTAAACACACAAAAAGAAAACAATTTAAGCTCAACTGCTCAACGGCAGTGCATTCCTAACTCAGTTGCTGCAATCATTGCCGCTTCATACATGCATGAGGTTGTCAACGAAAGAATGCATGGAGTGGAAAACGTCAATGAATGACGACACCTTATTTTAAACAATAATCTCTATGATTATGAACAAATTGCAAAATATTGGTTAAGCAATTGAATTATGAAGATGCCTCTATATTTTTTCAGAATGAGAATGTGGAATTCTTGCGCAACTTGACACAACAAGCCTGATCAGTGTACTTGGGTGCCGTATGTGTAATATTTTGTCATATTTACTTAAATACTTCTATGTTTGCATTTTCCCATTGATTATGAGCATGCCTGCATAAGACCACGTTTGCTGTCGTGTAACGCAACATCCGAATACTGTTTAATAATTAAAAACTTTGCACTAGCTGTACGTCTTCAAGCTTGAGAATTATATTGCATATGAAACTTGATACACCTAAATAGTAGGCACGAAACTGGCTAGGAAGGAAGCGAATTAACGTGGCGTTAACACAAGAGTACTGATTATGGTGTGTGAGAGTATAGTGACTTAAGCCTGACAGGCGTGCTGCGTGCACATAAGAGTGGGAGTAAATTTCAAAAATTCTCTTTGAACATTCTCCCAAAATACTTTCGCCTTCACGCTTGATATGCCAGTAAATACAGAAGGAATGCGTCCTTTCAATCAAATAACAAAACTAGAAAAGTCGGTCCCGGACCATTCATAGTAAACTTTAAGGCTAAGCCTAATTAATATTTCAATTTATTAGACTATAATAGACTATAATAGCTCTTACTTAGCAGGCGTTAAATTCCATGGTCATTCCAGATAATATAAAGTTTTATGGTTTATTAAAGGTTAACGGTGCTAAATACAAATACACGAGAATTACACAATTAAACATTAAATACTTATTATTGGTTAGTAACATATATACACGGACAATCTACTTACAAATATCTATATGACAGGACACTGGTATCAGATGAAAAACGTTACAACTATTATATCGAATACAACAAAGCGCCCAAACAAAACGTCAATTCTTTCTCCATGGCGTCCCCAAAAAAGACGCCAAAACCCCGGAAGACCGTTTGCTAATAATTATTTTAATAATTTTTAGTCATTTTCGTACTTGAAAACGTCAACAAAATGCAACGTTGTGAATCCTGTTAGGGCCTGTTCACATGAAGCGAGTTATCGCGGCTACGTAAGGTGAAAACTGCATAATTATAATGACCTCGTCTAGCCGGGATAACTCGCTCCATATAAACAGCTCCATAGTTATATCTTAATTCGACATTGAACCATTTCAGCGAACAAAAATTTTCCAAACGTCATTTTTCGATGCTGGGTATTTGAAATCATCGCATTCCCAGCGACCACCTGATTTCTCAATTAACCAGTAAAATTTGGCGGGAACAAACGCTGTATGATCGAATAAACGATCTTGGACATGATATCCACTATGATGCCATTTATTAACTTTGAATTTTCCCCATTCACGACCCCACTGAGAACACTGACTGGCCAGCATTGAATTGTCATCAGGTAAACGATAATAAGATCCGCAGCTTTTGGGAAGGGTGTTTGTCTGAGCAGTAAAATATTTAATAACTTCTTGGCCAAGATTGTTGGTTCTATTCGTAGCGATATCAAAGACTCGTCCCGGATTCTTTTTCTGACAAAAAAATCTGAGTTGATTGAACCACATTTTCGATCTCAAGACATAAAGAGCATATGTTGAAAGAGCAAGCTTTTGGGCTTCGTATTCACTAATTTGTCGATAGTCATTTGCCAGGGACCAATCCATTCCTCTAGGCTGATTCAGAACAAGATTGCTAACCAGAGTCCAGCCACCTACAAAATTGAAGATATGTTGGGCCAATTACACCTCCTTGTTAGCATTTTGGCAAATTTAAAAAACAATTTTGTCAACATGTAAACATGCTTATAAGGTTTAATATAACATGCCTTATATTTTATGCAGGGGGGGGGGCGCTTTCACTCAAAATGACTCCTTAAAACAGGACCTAGTTTTTTTCCTTAAATCTTTCTTAACTTTAAAGAGAAAAAATGGCTCCATGTTACGTTACGTGCACAAATCAAAAGCACTGCAAGTCTCTAGAAGGAAGACATTTTGTCACGACAAAATATGGATATGCTTGATCCAAAGTTATTTTAGCATTACTTTGCTGCCCCCCCCCCTGTCCTCCATTCCATCCATTTGCTTTCCGTTGCATAGTTTTTCACGTTGTGGACCGACCTTTATACCGAATAAATTATTGTAGCGATATCATAGAACTTGACGTAAAAAACACGATGGCGAGAGTTGAAAACATCATTATTTAGGCAAAAACATGAGTTTGCAAAAACGGAAGGTGCTAATGGAGAGCAAATTCATGTCCTTCATTCAACTACTAATCGTAGAAAGTTTCGACCGCAACAAAAGATAAACGCCCTGACGCCGTCGATTTCATATTCATGGTTTACAACCGAGAATTTTGGCAATGCAAAAACTGAACGTTCTTTAATTTTTTTATTGCCTACGCTTAAATGGAGATATTACACCCGGAATCTGAATTTCCCTCTATACCATATCTGAGTTTATTATTATAATATGTATGATACTATGATTATACCTCCATCAGCTTTCATGTCACAGAATACTTTTACTGATTTATTGTCCAATTTAATCCAGTTATCTCCATTTTCCAAATATGACAATTTTGTCCGCTGAAGAATGTCCAAACATGATTTACCAGGATTGTTGTAACCACCAACCTTTGAATGCTTTAAATATTCAAATTTTATACATTTTAAGATTTTTAGTCTCTGATTAAAAGAACGCTCATCGGGCAATTTTTTCAGGCTGATTACCTGCGCTTATGTTCTGGAAGACCAGGAATCAAAAAGGTTATCGTGCTAACTGCTCATGTGAGTGATTCTGTTCAAGTTTTTGTTCCCATTCACAGTGACTAGAATATCTCTACTAGCGAAGCGAATTTTTTTAATCCTGAGAATTCCTCCACATAATTAAATATATATGACTAGTGCGTATAGTTATTTCAGCCCTGTGCAGAATAATTTTGGCAATAATCATCGCAATTACAAACGTTCACTAGTTCTTTATACCCCGCCCACTTATTCAATGTTGCTTTTTGCAATTAAACGTTACAGGTAACCCTCGAGCAAATGACGCCAATTTTTATGAATCGCTCTTAAATATTTACATCCGAACGTTTTATGCATTTTTTAAGCAGTTACTTTAAAGCTATACAAAGGCATCTCTACACAGCACCTTGGTTATTTTAGAGCTTAAATTCTATTATGCATCCATTTAAAATTTTACCATACCACTTCAGCATCCCTCATCAATATCCAATCTCCTTTGTTTGAGTCGCCTCTGTTGTTGGTGACGTTTGTCAGTTGACAATTCTCAACATTTTTTGTTGTTCTGTAGTTGAAACCAACACATTTTTCTTCGTCTTTGCAGTGAGTGTGACATCCCAACATGACCACCGAAGATGTTACGTTGTGTCTCGATATTATTTCACCACTGGGTAATGATGAACCCCCTAGAATTTATTAAATAGAAAATCCTTACTATATTTAGGTCTATGTTCGTGGGATAAAAAATGGAATACACAATTATTGACTGTATTAAACACCTTAAATCGCCTCAAGGATCTCTTCTTTTCGAACTAGCAACTAGTTAAACATGCAGCAATAACTCACCTTCTCTAACGACGTCGTAACTCTTCGGGGAGCAACTGTTAGCGTTAATATTTGCAGCATTAAGCAAAAATAAGATAAAAGTGGCGGTAAAAGGCCTAGGCTTGATCGTCATTGAAATTACACGGTGATTTCCTGTCCGCAAATGGCATGGGAAATAGGTAAATAAAAGTCTCCTGTGCTATAACGCTATATAGCTGCGCAATAATGCTCATAATTAACGTTTAGCTATTATATCAAAGCCTAATTCAAACCGCCATAAGTGAAAATAAACACAATCAAGTTATATATTGCTTTTAAAGGGAAATTAATAACAGGTCTATTTATATTTCATGAATTAATAACAATTTGCTCAAGTTTATTAGATGAATTTTGTTAAAGTGGCATAAATGTAAGTTCGGATATTACGACAATTATAAGGGGGCTTATAGCAACTTCGATTTTAAAACATTGGCATTACAATAATAGTGTCGCCATGTACGGGTATTTAAAAAAACTAATTGACTTTCATATGCAAATTTTTATAACTGAACTAATTAGACAATTCACTATTGTGTCCAGTTGACGGGTGTCGGACAGTCGACAGTCGAGCGCAGTGACTACAGTTTCAGTATCTCCCGCGTAAATAAAATGCATTTAACCCCATGTAAAGGAGAACAAAATCGATATTTTGAATTAGTATATGTGGTTTTAAATGAGAATACGGAATTTTAAAAAAATGAATTCAAGTTTCCAGCCTCGCCCAGTTTGTCATTTTCGATTAACACAACGAATATGAACAGGTGATTAGAAATTTAATAAATTATCAGATTATTTCTTCTTTAATAAATTCTTCTACAAAAATCATGCAAGTCAACAGGTTATTTGGCGGATATGATTATTATTAAAACAAGGATTAAGGGTTCGAAGAATATTATTTTAACTTAATTCATTTATTAGCTTTGAAAGTTAAAAAGAAACAATTTAACATGAAGCAATGATATACGAACAACTGGCTGCGAAATATTGCATTTGCATGCCTGGATAAGAATGGGAATGAGTGCAATGAAAACATGTACAGTCTTGAAAAACAAAAAGGATCTAAGGAAATGCATGTGATTAACTCAACCGTTGTAGGCTAAATACGAAAACGGAACCAGGAATTAATGAAAAAAATCTATATATTATATTTAGGATTATAGGGTTATAGGGTTATAGGATTTAATTTAGGTAGTGTGAAAATATTTGACGAGTTAAAACAGACCATTATCTGATAAATGCAGCATTTTGTACTTATTATTTAAAGTTATATATGTTATTTACCAGATTAGAGGTCCGTATAGGGAAATACTTCCCAAGGTCTCCCCAACGTTTTTGAGACCGAGGGAAATATTTCCCGATACGGACAGACTAAACTGGTAAATAATAGATTTATTTCTTCTTGCGGTCTGAATTCATATTTTAGCGTTGGCTTTGTGCTTTTAAATCTCGCGCGGTCCGTACGGCCTCATACGGACCGCTCGCGTAGCCAATCAGTTGCAGGAAACGCTAAAATATGAATTCAGAGCGCAAGAAAAAAAGTATCAGTATTCCAGCATGCTTTTTGAATTGATTAATCTGCATGCTATAGTAAGTATTGAGGAAGGAATGAAATCTACCATCCAAAATGTTCAAAAACAATTCGTCGTCGTAGTTGTAGAATAGGCAGATTTATCACAAAGACATGTCCTTTACATGGACATGCCACATTATTCGCCATTTAAACGCTGTCTTTGACGCTCACACCATATGCTAAATCACCCTAATAAACATTGAACCAAAGTGATTCACGGCTGAGAACAAGATACTACAAACGTAGTCTAAGTCTAAGTAAAAATCATTTTTCGGTGTTTTAGTCACATGTAAACAAAGTCATTTGTAACCCCAAGATGAGCGGTGTCAATGTTAATGCTGTTAATAATTTACAGTAGCTTTCATTAAGTGACGATAAATTTTACAATTTCAGAAAGATACTCGTAACAGGTCTGTTTGTGATTTACAATGACTCCGGCAAAGCACACGCTCGTATTTTCTAAAAAAGTGCGCGGTTTTTTTCAGAAATGGAGTGCAAGTGTTTCACGCCCTACGTTGGGGTATAATGGCTGATATTTAACTTCCTTTTAATGAATCAAAATTTCACATCAAATCATGAAGTGATCTGATCGCTAGCAAACGTTGTCTAGCTTTTTAAGAGCCTCCCCCCGCTCTCCTATTCAATCTTGCTTCTCGCAATTAAACGTTACTGGTAATACTCGAGAAAATGACGCCAATTTTTATTAATTGCTCTTAAATAATTACACCCCAAAGTTTTATGCATATTTTAAGAAGTTCCTCAACCGAATTGGAGAAATTATTATGGTAACTGCGCATACGAGTGACTCTGTTCAATATTTTCATTTTGTTCCCAATCACGGTGACTAGAATACCTCTACTCGCGAAGGGTATTTTTTCACTCTTGCGAACTCATTCGTATTTATAATTATGACTAGTGCGTATAGTTATTTTGTGCAAAAATTTGCATTTAGCCTGTGAAAAATTTTGCCGGTGTAAAACAATTTAATACAACAAAGTGAGTCTTACCACTCAAAATTAATTTTACAGTGAAATTCTACGTGTCAGAATATCCGCATTATTTTATTCCTAAATTATTGCATAGAAAGTAAAATAACGTCAAACATCTAGAGGATGATAAATTCTGACTGGTACATCATGCATAATAATATACATTAGAATAGAACTTTAAGTGCACTGAAATGCATATAATTATCGTAAGGATATTTGTAAAATATAGTCTACTACAGACGCCAGTTTATCGAACGAAAATCTTCCAAAAATCGTTGGGTGATAATGTGTATTTTGAGTTCGGTTTAAATTTAAAATCGTCGCATTCCCAACGCTCTAATGATTGACTAGTTAGCCAGTGAGCTTTGTAACCAACAAAGACGGTATGATTAAACAAACGACTTTTGACACTCCAAAACTCCTGATGATCATGATGAGCATTATGCCATTCACCAACATAAAAGGTATCTGATTCACGACCCCACTGAGAACACTGACTGGCTAGAATTGAATTGTCATCAGGTAAACGATAATAAGATCCACAGCTCTTGGAAGGGGTGTTTGCCTGAGTAGTAAAATACTTAATAACTTCTTGACCAAGACTGTTGGTTTTATTTGTAGTGATATCAAAGATTCGTCCTGGAATCTTTTTGCGACAGAAAAATCTGATTTGATTGAAAGACATTTTCGATCCCAAGTCACGAAGAGCTTCTGTCGAGAGAGCGAGCTTTTGTTTTTCGTATTCACTGATTCGTTGATAATCATTTGCCAGGGTCCAATTCATTCCTTTTGGCTGTTTCAAAACAAGGTTGCTCACCATAGTCCAACCACCTACGAAATTAGACAAAATCCATTAGCTCTCTCAATTTCGATAAGTTCAAGCGCTTCTGAATGTTGTTAAAATGAGAAAAAAAGTACACACTAGGTCTGATAATGGGTTGTAAAAACAGAGAACTCCGTCCTGTAAGGAAAAAGCACCTAAGCCTCTTTTAGACGAAAGTTGAACGTGTTTACGAAGCTTCAATAGGAAAGCACTTGATTGCTTAAGATGTCAGCATGCCTTAATTTCCCAGTCTCTTCTTAAAGCTTTTAAAAAATTTTTTACTCTTTGCGCACTTTCCTCAGTTCGAGGGGCCCAGGAAAAATTTTAGGAAGATAGCACCATTTTGCAAAGTAGAAATTAAAACTAAATAATACCTCCATCGACTTTCATGTCACAGTATACTTTTAGTTTTTTTTCATCCAATTTAATCCAGTATTCTCCATTTCCCAACGATGTGGTTTTTGCCCGTTCAGAAATGTCGAACACGATTTTCCAGGATTATTGTATCCACCAACCTATAAATTTTGGACGCATTTAGATTCTATCAAGGTATATATAGCTCTGTTACATTGCACCCAATTAAATCAAAACAAAGGTACTAAATCCCCGAGTATGGTGACTAAACATTAACTTAGGTCAGATATAATTTTGCTCATTTCCTTTTGTGAAATGGTTTTACACAATAGTTTGCCTAATTAAAATCCATATGACAGTGAAATTATTTGCTGATGTTCTAAATGAAATACAAACTTTCAGCTTCAACCGTTAATGAATACGCGTTGCTGATACCACAACCAGTCTTTACTGGTTCAAATTTCGACAGAAACAATTCAATTGCTTAAACTTCAGCCCGATGTATATTCTCCGATAATCACCTCGCCTTCAACGAATAAAGCCTCTTACAGACGAGCAATTTTTTTATGACAAGTTTTTATATGACAAGTTTTAATTGGCAATTGCACATGTGTATGTACAATAAAATATTTTCTAAAAAAGTTTTTCTTTGACAAGTTTTATTTGCTCGTGTGAACAAGTTTAATTTGCCGATTTAGTTTGCAGCCAGCGATGTAATCGTACAGCAGACAAAGTGATCGCCGGCAAGAGGTGGGAATTTTGCCTGAGAATGCGCGAACACTGAAATAAGTGCGTGTAATGTGTGGGGTGCGCGTTGTTTAGTTCGCTGTTAACCGAGCTAATTTAATAATAAATGTCCTGACAAATACACGAGCTTAAATACACCTAATACACCTAATTACGAATTCATACATACTTATAAACTTATTAACATTTTTACATAACCTATTGTAACATCCCTTCTTCTTTATAAAACAACAAATTACACATATCGTATATGTTCGCAAATCAATGTCCACAATTGCTACTCCATCAGTCCTCCGAGTGTATATCATCTAAATCAACGTTTATGCGATTACACAGAATAACGCAAAGTCTGTTACCTATTAATAAAGTACTAATTTAAAGAGATGGTTTAATTAACAACAAGACGCCTGTTCTGGCGTTAACTCCGGCGCACGTGCCAGTCTTTAATATAGAGCTTCTGAACTTAAACAATACAGTTCATATTCGCATTTAGATGCCTTACGAAGCTAAATGTTCGATCGCGAAATTCAGCAGCACATCGTACTTTAAAAAGTATAGAAGTTCAATTGTTCGAAAATGTAAACAAACCGCATGATACATTCGCTTTGTCTCACACTTAGCCTTTGGAATTCGCGCTTATATATTATATCTTCAATCCTGTGCAAACTACGACGTGTCAACGCGCCCATACACGACCACATCATCTTGTTAAACGGCGAAATAGCAGCGATACTATTAAAATAGGACCAGAATCTACATGTATTAAATATATTCTTACTCCAATTCAATCTAAACTTAATCGAAGAGCATGAAAACAACGGTTTATTTGTTCCTCTTGAAGGAATTGCCGTATCATGCGAGCGAAATCGAATCGCGCATCGGAAAATTAGCCAAAGGTGTGCACCACAACTCTTAGGAGATAAGACTGGGACGTACATAAATACAGTCACATACACACTTTAATTACTAGAATGTTTCCCGCCATTTCAGACTTGCGACGACGAAAAATAAAAAAAAAAAAAAAAAAAAAACAACAAAACAAAACCAGGGCGAATTTTCAACTCCGTCGCTGACGCCGGAGTAATTATAGTTATACATAGTCACCCAGGTACTTCGGTTTCCTCACGGTTCGTCCTGAGCGCGTTACGATCGGAGGTTGTGCTGTTGTAACACCTTCGGTTGCAGATGGATTCGAGTTCGTCACTGACGGTTCAGGTGCCGATGATTGTCGTAATGGCGGTACTTCCGGCGTTGGCTTCGATGGTGTATCACGAAGCTTCTCAGGTGGTGTGTTACTAGGTTTCTCAGGAACGCGATCTAATGGTGTAGACACTCCGCTGTGCAACTTAACTGCAGATTCGGCCTGGTTGAAATCTTCCTTGGTTCTTCGAAGGTGGCGCCGATTTCGCCGATATATCGCTCCACTCTCTGTCTCCACTGCGAACGAACGAGGTCCAACTTGACCATTTACCCGCGCCTTCACTGCTTGGTTTTGTCTGTCGCCTGGTGGAATGAGCCTCACTGTATCACCAGTTGATAGCTTTCGTAGATCTTTTGCTCTTTGGTTGTACTGGTTTGCTTGTTTCTCCTTATTCTTTAGAAGTTTGTCGTAAGTGTTCCTAAAGACTACTGGCTCCAACAATGCTGGTAACGATGGTAACGGAGTACGTGTGCGTCTGCTCATTAGACGCAGCACAGGGCTGCTGTCTAACCCTTGTGTTGGGGTATTTCTGTACTCGAGGAGAGCAAGATATGGATCGGTCCCCGCCTTCTTAGCTTTCTTCATGATGGTCTTGGCAGATTTCACAGCAGCTTCGACTTTACCATTGCTTTGAGGATATATGGGAGAGCTGGTAATGTGTTGAAACTTCCACTGCTGGCTGAATTGCTTGAACTCCTCAGAAATGTATTGAGGTCCGTTATCCGACATACACGTCTCTGGAATCCCATGTCTGGCAAACTGTGCTTTCAACTTACGGATAATAGTTACTGACTTGGTATTCTCCAGAAGGTCAATTTCCCAGAACGAGGAATAGTAGTCAACACAAATGAGGTAGGTACGGCTATCATAACTGAATATGTCCGTTCCAACTTTGGCCCAAGGTCGATTTGGGATTTCGTGAGCAACGAACGTCTCTTTCGGCTGCTGTTGATCAAAGGCTCTGCAAACATCACATGTTTCAACTAACTGTCGGACTTCACTGCTCATTCCAGGCCAATACATAGATTCTCTGGCTCGGGATAATGTGGTGATAACCCCACTGTGTGCGTAATGCAATCGACTCTTCATTTCTTTCCTTAATGAAAATGGAATTACCACCCTTTCTCCTCTAACCACGATTCCTTCATAAATGCTCAGTTCGTCTCGCTTCTGTTGACCGATTCCACTTTCTTTTATCGGGTTGGTACCGCAACGAGTTTATGACTTCGCTTTCTTCGAGTGCCTTTCTTCGCTCTTTCGACAATTCCGCTGCTCTGCAAGCATTTAGACAGCGTTCAAGGTCTAAGTTCTGATCTTTTAGTAACTCTTCGCGAAGTTGTTTATCTCTGATACCACAAATTATGCGGTCTCGCACCAGTGAGTCTTTAAGACTACCGAAATTGCAGGTCGCTGCTAAAACTTTTAAATCTGTAACAAACTGTTCTAATAGCTCGTTTGTCTCTTGAATTCGCGAGAAAAACCTATAACGTTCAACGGTTTCATTTCTCTTTGGGTTACAGTAACTATCAAAAGCTGCTACGACTTGCTCTAGACTTGCTCTACTATGTATGTATATTACCTTTTTATGACATTTATTGGAATACATTATAAATATACTTCCTGTACTACAATAAATATATCTAAAATGCCCTACTTGATTATATATGTATTCATAGGAATAAGGAATGTATGCATTGCACTGGCAATGGGTCAATGGCATGCTACTACAGAAGTGAATTCTCCAAATGTTAGTTTACCTTAATTACATAATACACATGGGGATAATAGGAGAACCAGGGAACATGAGAACCGAGGAGCTAGCTAGGATACAGGGGGATGGAGGAACTGGGGAACAGGGGAAAGGAGGAACTGGGGAGCATGAGAACTAGGGGATAGGGAACAGGAAATGGAAGAAATGGGGAGTGAGAACTGGGGAAATGGTGGAACTGGAGAGCAGGAGAAATGGGGAATCGGCAGAACCTGTTTCCAGGGGAACGGAGGAACAAGAGAATGAGGGAGGAAACCAGGGATGGGAAATGGGGGAAAGGGTATGTAATTAAGGTAAACTAACATTTGGAGAATTCATTTCTGGAGTAGCATGCTATTGGCCCATTGCCAGTGTAATACATACATTCCTTATTCCTATAAATACATATATATATATATATATATATATATATATATATATATATATATATATATATATATATATATATATAATCAAGTAGGGCATTTTAGATATTTATTGTAGTACAGGAAGTATTTATGTATTCCAATAAATGTCATTAAAAGGTAATATACCTACATAATATTCAGTATTGCAATGTTTGTATGGCTATTTGAGGTTCATACAGCAGATATCTGGATTTCTTATCAAGTATTTAATAATTATAAAGTGCAAACATTGCTTATTACTTAATTACCAAGTTATTCATAAAATGCACATTGTTGTTTCATATTGTAACCAAAAATGTTTCTTTCAACAAAACATATTCATCATAATTATTTGTTTCCCAAAAAGTTTGTTGTCTAAAATCAGTGGAGTAAACCAGTCTGAATATACTAGTAATTTTTTAGGGTTAAATAGTATAATTTATAGGCAAAATACTCTCACACTAGCACACAACAATACAATTATTTTATTTATAGTTTTAATTTTTACTGAAAGGCATGTATATTATGATTTTTCACTTTGGTAAAATCTAATACAAGAGTGCCAGCTGGGTTTCACAATAACAATTAACACTTGCCAGGTTGGCATTAAAAACAATAAATATATTTGTAATTAGTATCCTAGATGCAGTGAGCCATAATACTGTATGCACGCCTATGATGTGGATAATATGTATTAGCAGTTGTTCCTTTTAGGCTCAAGACTGTTACTATTAGTTTAGCTGCTCAATGAGTCCATAGTTCCCTGGTTCTCCATTCCCTGGTCCCCCCCATCCCCCTGTTCCCCCATTCTTTGGTTCCCCGGTTCCCCCGCAGACTCGTTTACCAGTTTCACCGTTCATCAGTTCCCCCCTCCTCCCACTTCCCCATCCCCCTGTTTCCCGGTCCCTGTTCCCCTACTTCCGCACTCCCGTTACCCCCATTCCCCCATTCCTTTGTTCCCCTATTCCCGCATTCCCCCTCCCCCCATTTCCCCATTCTTCTGTTCCCCCATTCGTGCATTCTCCCATTCCCCTATCCCCCCATTCCCGCATTCCCACCTTCCCGCATTCCCCATTCCCGCATTCCCCCATTCCAGCATTCCCCCATTCTCGCGAATTCCCCCATTCCCGCAATCCCCCATTCCCGCATTCCCCATTTCGAAATTTCAAAACGCGCGGGAAGGCATTGTGAGCGCTTTACGAGGGTACACCGACTGCCGCCCGAGCATCTAACGACTGTGAAATTTCTATTATAAAATAACATGTATACAACGCATGTTCTGATTGGTCGAAGCCCAAACAACGTAAGAGCCCTGGGTACGAGAAATTTAAAAGTTTTAAAGAATTTAAATTTAAATTCAGGCCTTGTCGTGGTTGTTTTATAAAACAATTGCGAATTTTTCTTAACTCTCGCAACATTCCCGCGTGTTTGGATCAGGCCATCCAAACACGGAAACTGGCATTAAGTAATTGTATATTGTTTTGTTTCAAAATCTATTATATTAACCACAAATGCAACATGCGTTGTTCCGAAACGAACGTTTCACGTTTCGAAAATATCGAGACGTTCTCAAGAAATGTAATGAAGTCATTTCATGTTGATAAATGGATTATAAGCTTGAGTCCATCTGCCTCTGGAAATTGCTTGCTTGATTTGAAATGGCGAGAGGTTGTATTGTATGCTTCTATTCTTAGTATATAAATAATTCATACTATTAAATTAAAGAGCCGCCTTAGTCTGAAGTGCAAGGCGTCCATTCAGACAAATTTCTTACTTATGCAAAAATCGTACGCAATCGCCAACCACGATTTAATTCATATTTACGAGCTCCGCAAAATTCACAAAATGTTCACGCTTCTCTCAAAATAACTCTCAATTACAACAAAAATTGAGAACGTCATACCGCTTCAGCATCCCTCATCAATATCCAATGTCCTTTCTTTGAGTTGCCTCTGTTGTTGGTGACGTTTGTCAGTTGACAATTTTCAACATCTTTTGTTGTTCTGTAGTTGAAACCAACACATTTTTCCTCTTCTTTGCAGTGAGTGTGACAACCCAACATGACCACCGAAGATGATACGTTGTGTCTCGATATTATTTCATCGCTGGGTAATGATGAACCTCCTAGTGAAAATTTAAACAAAGATTTTGCTAAATTTTAAACAGCAATGAAATGTCGAATATCTTATCAATGAAGTATGCGCAATAATTTCTTAATACATCTTAATATACTATAATACAATATTGACCACGAAAATTAAAATCGGTTTTCTCGACAATATTTCTATGAACAAGCAGAACTGCCCACCTTTTAATATAATGTCGTAATTCGTCGGGGAACAATTGCTAGCTTTGACATTCGCAGTTGTGAGCAACAGTATCGTTAAATTTGCGGCAAAATGCCTGATCATTATTTAAGTCAGGGACACCTTTTTACTAACACAGTAATTTTACGTTCGTGTGCGTGATATTGTTATGTTGGCAGGTGCAATGACCTGTTTTAAAGGAAAATAAGCAAATTGACATGAATATAATTACTCATTTTACATAACACTTGTTTCCAAACTAGTATGCATACAGCCAACATAAATTAAACTACAACAATTAAACAAGACACCTGCTCGGCAAGACACTTGCTCTGCCGCGCGGGCGCCAGTCTTTCAATACCAAGCTTCTGAATTATATACAGCACTGTCCAGAAATAACGTAACAAAAACCGCGGTTAACGTACAACAAGGTGCAAGAATTAATGAGACAACCACATAAATGACCCCTACCCCAAAAAGCGACCAACATGTACGCTATATGTACCTATTTTTTCCATCTTGTTACCTAGTTGACAAGTTGGTCGGTTATGCAAATGGTCTCAACAAGTTTCCAGCCTCGCCCAATTTGCAATTTTCTGATGAATATGAATAGGTTATTAGAGATTTAATAAATTATCGGATTATTTTTTCTTTACTGATGAATTGTTCCGCAAAAATTGTGCAAGTTAACAGGTTTAGCTACAGCGGATATGATGAATATTAAAATAAGGATTAAGGTTTCGAAGAATATTGGTTTAATTTAATTCATTTATTAGATTTGACAAAATCGAATCGAATCTCCAAAATCTTTAAAGCCCGGTATGACAATCTCCGGAATCTTTACAACCCGAGATGAAAACATGTAAACAGAAGGAGTGATAAAATAACATCCCGTTTTATATAAGTTGTGCCATTGGATATCAACTTTTATGCATAAAAACATTCAATTTACGATAAAATGAGCCTGTCTCTCAAGTTCTGTGGTTGGAATTTTGTTGTTTTCGTTTTACACATTGTCATTGGAATGCAAGACAATTAAGTGGAAGAGTATTAAGTTGCACGGAATTTTGCAGATTCGGCCTAAAACGTGAAATAATTCTATTTGAGTAGCCATGTTACTACGCATCGCATGCAATTTGTTATCAATGTGAAGTCTAAAATATTATTAGATTGTATGGCTGCGGATGTACCCGGAAGTTACCCTCTTTAGTGGTATTTTCATGGTGAGCCCAACAACATTACAAGAGAAATTTTACTTTCTATAATTTAGCATTATTTTAGAGAAATGGTGCATGAGATGGCCTGCACATGAGCAGTATACTGCTTGCGATGGCATGGGATCTATTTCAAGGGGCTGTTGCTGTCGTTAATAACGATATCCTTAAATGGGTGGTAATGTCAATAGTACCTTAAAATAATTCTCCTTTCTTGGTTTCAGAGCTGTTTGCAGAATATTTTAACAAAGCATTTAATATAGAAAGCAAAGGTCTATACACAACTCTCGAGTGTATTGTTTAAAAGTGCTTATAAACCCAAAATGGCTTTTTGGTGATTCAGATTGAGCATAAAAGTTGGTTAGTAACTTCCACTTTAGTTTTTGATTTAAAATTTTAATTTTGGTGCTACGATGGCTCACACAATAGAATTTGACCATTTCTCCAAAAATAGCGCGACGCAAATATCACCAAAGGGCCTGGATCCCAGGAACTCGTCTTCCATTTCGTATGGCATAATGGTAGAGGTATTGCTATTCACACTCGAAAATGAACTTGAATTGAACGTATCAGAAACTTTATTTAAAAATGGCCTGATATTTCTAATTTGTCTACTAGAACTATATTACGTTTCATAATAAAGTAAATAGACGTGTTCCTGAGACCCAGTCCTCAATTGGGCGCTACCTTTTTTTTGCCCCCCAATATCTCCAAAACTAAAATTTTAACGCAAAAACTAATCTAGAAGTTACTAAGCAACTTTTTATGCTCAATCTGAATCACCAAAAAGCCATTTTGGGTTTATAAGCACTTTAAAATATACTGCAATTAATATCATAAGACACGCTAATTGTTCAACATTTCCGTAAACATGTTTAAAGCCTACATATAACATTCTGACTTGAAATTTTGTATGGTAGAATAATCAAATGCGGGTTGTCGATTATTTAATGCAATATATTTTCCTTCCCTCAATAATAGAATTGTGGTGGTTAAGACAATAGTTTAAGATTTTAGGTAACTGTTTAACACTTTAGAGGTTTATGGAAAAACTGGCATAATTGCTGTTAGCCTGATAACATTAAAAAACGTCACCCTGCTTTCAATCTAGTGGAACTTAATCGCTTTTACCCGTGGACAATCTACCAATACAAAGGCTGAGAATAGATAAAGTTGTTACCAGTTTTATATAGCCGTGACAATAAACTTTTATACATTAGAGGGCTTAAGATTGACGTTAAAGTCCAACCGGTATCTGGAAGCGGCAAAACTTAAATCACATTGGAAAGTAAACATATGGGTTTTTACCCTACTAAAATCCTACAGTTATCGAACAAAAATCTTCCAAAAATCGTCTGGTGATATTGTGTATCCCGAGATTGAATAGAAATCGTCGCATTCCCAACGCTGCTTCGATCCACCAGTAAACCATTGAGCTTGACCAGAAACGAAGGCCGGTGATTAAACAAACGGGCTTTAACTTGCGAGCCATCAATACCCCATTTACCAACAAAATATGTGTTATTTGATTCACGACCCCACCGAGAACACTGACTGGCCAGAATTGAATTGTCATCAGGCAGACGATAATAAGATCCACAGCTTTTGGGAAAAGTGTTTGTCTGAGCAGTAAAATATTTAATAACTTGTTGACCAAGACTATTGGTTTTAGTAGCGATATCAAAGACTCGTCCCGGGATCTTTTTACGACAGAAAAATCTGATTTGATTGAACGACATTTTCGATCTCAGGTCGCGAAGTGCATATGTTGAAAGAGCGAGATTTTGGTTTTTGTATTCACTGATTCGTCGATAATCATTTGCCAGGAACCAATCCATTTCTTTTGATCCATTCTGAACAAGGTTATTAACCAGTGTCCAGCCACCTACAAAATGGAAAATCCATTTGCCGCGTCAATAATTTTATATTCCGTATACTTTTGTTGCGAGTATAGTAGAGTATAAATTATATGTTATAAGTAGAATTTTAATAATAATGGTAAAAATGATAGTGTGTATGTGTGTAGCAGAAGAGTGGGACATAATTATATATTAACATAAAAATTCTTCGAAATAACGCGTGATATCCCAAGGGTGGATTCCCATTTGATGAGAAACTTATTTCTGACTTATTTCAAAAGAATGTATTGGAATGAGTATGGTATTGTGATTCTGAGAAGGAACGCACTGTCGTACTCTAGGCCACACACCCATTTGCGGATAATTTGCTAACCAGATAGAGTGCTAGCCATCATTTTGCTCCCAATCTCTCCATCTCGTGTAAGGGTGGGGGTACAACTGCCATTACTAAGCCATTTACCACGCCTTTTAGGTGCTTTGCAAAGCAAGTTCGTTGTTTTTTTGGTTAATAATAAATATAATTGGAATCAATACCTCCATCAGCTTTCATATCACAGTACACGTTTAATGGTTTATTGTCCAATAAAACCCAGTATTCTCCATTCCCTAAAGATGCTCGTTCTGTCCGTTGAAGAATGTCCAAACAAGATTGTCCTGGATTGTTGTATCTACCAACCTTCAAATGATTTTGATATTAAAATCATTAAAATATCCGGACGAAATTGTCAGGCTAGCTATACGCTACTGAACACTATATTGTTTTGTTTTTTATCTGTGTAAATGAGCAATCTGATTGGCTGAGGAACGTTTCACAGCGGGCCGGTTTTTATCAGGTCCGCTGTGAAATACAGCCGGTCCATTGTGAGAAATGTGAACATAACGACCAAAGAAACGTACGGCCTGAAATGTGTGAAAACCTTTTTAGGAAAGGCTGAAAGAATGTTAAAAATTAAAAACCGAAAAACTTTTTGGTTTGGATTTTTCACGCCTTTTTCGCGTGTCAATACGTTGTTTTTTTAATCGATTTGCCGTGATTTAGTTGCTATGGTAACAATACTTGCAGAATTTGTAGTTTTTATAGTTTTTTCATTAAATTTGTTGTATTTTTTTGTGTTTCATAAAGTCAATAAAATCAAGGTTAAAAAATACACGTTATTCACGAGAGACCTCGGGCACAGTTTTTGCATCCGGACGTCGCAGCCGGTGAATAACATATATATCTTTTTATAGATTTTGTTCTACTTTACTTACATGAAATGAAGCCTTCAAGCCTACATAGCTTCACCTCGGAATATTACGATCCATGAATATAATAATAAATAAAACACAGATCAATCGAGAAAACACCGACGAGAGGATAAAACATAAAGCTAGGTTAAAGTTCGACACAGACCGGACGCAATGCGGCAGCCCGACGCGCATTTTCAGTTTTCACAAACATATAAATTAGTTTGGAAGCCAAAATAGTTAAAATGTATCAGTCGTAAGTGATCTATAAGAATATTATGGAAAATTTGGAATCTAAGGACGCCAGAGCAGTCAAAATGTATTATCGTTAAATAATCAACAAGAATATTATGATAGCTTAAAATTTATTTGCTTTTGAAAAGTAAAAACTTTGTGTCGGCTTTAAAGCTGTTCTTCATGACAATCGCGGCCTTTGAAAATCGCCTCATGCGACAGTGACGGGCATGAAAAAAATAAAGCGCGCAAAGTGGAGAAAATGGAGAACAACCTTAAAAAAGACGGGGCGGCGGACGTATAATGACTGCGTATTATTAACAACGTATTATGCATTATCATACCGCTTCAGCATTTCGCATCAATATCCAATCTCCTCTCTCTAAATTTTCTCTGTTGTTGGTGACGTTTGTTAGTTGACAATTTTCGACATTTTTTGTTGTTCTGTAGTTGAAACCAACACATTTTTCTTCGTCTTTGCAGTGAGTGTGACATCCCAACATGACCACCAAAGATGTCACGTTGTGTCTCGATATTATCTCATCACTGGGTAATGATGAACCATCTAAATATTTTTCGACAAAATTGACAGTAAAACAAGTTTCTGAATAGGAATGTCTACTATTAGAATAGTATTGAAATATTATTATTGACCATGATTATGTACCTTTGAAAGATATGCGTTCAAACTAGTACTCACCTCGTCTAATGATGTTGTAAATCGTCGGAGAACAAGTGCTGGCAATAATATTTGAAGTTAAAAGCGACAGTTGGGAAAAAGCCGCCACAAAAAGCCTAATATTCATTGAAATCGACCTTTTCTAGTTCAATCGTAAGGAAAGCCGTGAAAAAAAGTGCAATTATAGGGCCTGCTGTACATGTATTTAAAAACATATATTAAACATGATGATTTGGCATTAATTCATTATAATTACAGCTCATATTACAGTCGGTTTCAATAAACTTCACACGCTCGGGTTTCGAACCATATTTGGAAATCAACAAGTTGGCGGGAAAATTGCAATTTCCAAATATGGTTCGGAATTTGAGCGTGTAAAGTTTGTTGAAACCGACTGTAATAAAAATGATTGACGATTAAATTTTAAGTCGGCAGGTTGTGAGAAGCTTAAAAAAAGTTATTAAAATGAAACTGATAGAGTAAAATGCGCTGAATGAAATAAAATAATGGATATGCAGACGAGAAAATTCCACCATGTTGATGTTTCGCGGTGATCCTTAACAGTGAAAAATCAATTTCTAGAGAAACGAAATTGTTACGCGGACTAAGCCACTAATAATGAAAGTGATAGTCATGAGAGCTGAAGCCCACAGAGGCTGACAATAACTGATTTAATGCATGACAATATTATTATTAAATATCGATTTCATTTCATTTCATTTTGTCGGTATCTCAATGTTAATAGGCGAATGAAAGGCCTTGCCTGCCGCCCTATATATTTGTTTTAATATTTGCTATTATTTCTGATGAACTGTACGAATTTCTATTTGTGCATTTGAATTTGAATATTTCTGCTGCAAAACTGCAGAGTTCAGAATCTTACTATAATTCCGAGGAGAAAATATAAATGAATATAAGGCTGACTTTGCTTTTACCCCTGCGGTATATTTTTCTTTATTTAAAGAATACTCAATCCCAATGTGGACTATACAGGGTGTATCAAAAAACTAATAATTCTTCCTAATAATTCTCAGAAGTCTACGATCTGGATCTTTTTTATTGAATAGAAGCGTACAGATATAAATATTATGTTTTTTATACACCCTTTTATGCACCCTGGAGATGTAATTTTGAGAATTTTCATTCATTTAATCATCATTAATTTAATAATTCATTTCTTTTCAATGAAGCATTCATTTGTATTGATAGCTGCCGTCGTCGTGTTCCCGTCCTACATGATTAAGGTGCCTAAAAAGGTCTCTAATACATGCCTATATAAAGCCGGTTTTCCACTAGCGATATTTTTCGCGCGAAGCGACATTTTACTTTTGTTTCAGAGCTCTCAACTGCAACCATCTGGAACAAATTGCTCAAATACAAAGGAATAAAGTCGCTTCGCGCGAAAAATATCGCTAGTGGAAAACCGGCTTAAGGTCCTTAATAAGCGATCGAATATTTTTAATTTAGGACTTAGGAGTTCATTTCCTTGGGTCAGAAGTCTCAGAACCCACATGTGTTAGCTTTATACGACTCCTTTTTCGGGTATTGATGGTTAGTATATGTCCGAATTAATGTTATAAGTCCGAAACGTAAAACGGCTTGAGGTATTGAATAAAATATTTTTGAAACAAAGCAATCACATGCTATTAGGGACCTTAAGCATGTATAGGACGGGAACACGACGACGGCAGCTATCAATACAAATGAATGCTTCATTGAAAAGAAATGATTTATTAAATACCTTTGGGAGTTTTAGACGTGATCAACATTCTGTTTATGTTTACAACGGCAAAACGTCGTTTATTACGTCCTTTGTACAGGGTGTCCCAAAAAAACCGAAAACTATTGAAATCACCCATAACAATGCCATTGTTAGAGTTTGAATGCCTAAGCACTCTGATGGGCCCACAAGTGTATAAATCGGGGTTGCCATAAGCATTTTTATGCATGCATATGATGCAGTCAAATTTGGTTGTTCGCAAAAATGATATTTATTAACAATATTTACAATTTACAAATATGGATAACAATATTTAAATGTGCATCTCAAGGACCATGACCTTCGACATGTCCCCTTTCTCTAGCAACACAAAGCATTTAGCATTTTATAAGTTGCATTACCTAAATCCCCACAGGCTGATATTCGTGAACACGGCATTCAAATTTTAACAATGAGTAATTTCAATAGTTTTCGGTTTTTTTGGGACACCCTGTAGAACGTCTGCATTTCAGGACCCAATGAGCTCTGCCTCGTATTAGGCTCTACAGTACAGAATTGTCCCTAAATGTAAAAACACTGTTTTCAACGTCTTATATATTTTTAAATTGGTACGATTGATAATATACAACAACGCTTTGCCATAACATTAATATATAGGAGTATTCCAGCCACGTCGTCGTCGTGTTGCCGTCCTACATGCTTAAGGTCCCTATAGGATGATTACGACGGCAAGTCATGTTATTGGCCCTATTTACTTATTTACTAGAGGCGGATCATCCGCCTCGAAAAACTTGGGCATTTGCGAAGCCAATTTGCGCTGATGAAGGCCCAGGTTCACATGCCGAAAGCTTTGTTGTAGCAAATACTTACGTGGTGTACCTACAAGCTGATTTACTTAAAATATAATTTAAAATTTGTCTTCTAGTTCGTCTGTGCATAAACACGGGCAAATCGTCTGTTAGTACAAAATACGGAGTGGGAACGAACTACGAAAAAAATATCATAAAACGTCTCTTGTGCACATTTTCTACAACATGCTGTAAATATTTTCCAATTCCCGTGAATATTCCCGTGCATTTGGAAGTACCAAAACACGGGAACAAGCTTTAACCGCAACAAAGGAAACTCGGGCAGGCCAAAAACTGATCGAAGTGAAGCGAACGTTGAAGTTGTGAGAGTTTTGCTGGAAGAAACCTCACGAGGTGTTGAGCTGTCGTCGTAATCCTGTTTAGGTAACAAAATTAACCTTCAACAGGATTACCAGATTATAGATTTACGACGGAAGCCTTACAGAATGCACGTACGTCATGAGCTATTGCAAGACGACTTGCCACTTCGACTACGCTATGCGCAATGGTTAATGAACGCTGTCAAAACTGAAACTTTTTGCAGAGATTCATTATTGAAGATGAAGCATTATTTTCCATAAATGGACTAGAGAAGTTAACTCCCACAATGTGCGCAAATACGCACCGAAGGGACTACCACCGGCATTTATGCCGAACGCAGGAATTCTTATGGAAAGCTTACTATCTGGGCAATGGCGTGGTTTTGGGCTCTTACTTTTTCAGCTTTGGGAGGGAATGTTTCGAAGGCTCTGGTGGGCAGAGGACGGCGCTCCAGCACATCGTGTGGTCGCAGTTCGAGATCGCCTCAATGAAATATTCGAGCAGAATCGTGTGATATAGCGCTACAACATGCATAACGTTGAATGGCCACCCTGCTCACCAGATTTAGCCCTTGTGATTTTTCATGTGGGGATATCTGAAGAACATCCAGCAGAGAATAGTCCATGAATTCCGGCACTGATGTTTTACGGCAGCAGCCTGAATTGATTCGTAATGCAGTACGCCACATGTACATTGAAGGGCATGGCCCATATAGCTTTTTTAAAAGTTAACTCAGTTAATTCATGTAACATATAAGCAGCAAACTATTCATTTGTAAAATGGTTTTACTTCAGTTTCGTCATCGCGATTAATATTATTACTTATGACGAATAAACTTAATGACTTAAACCGTCATGTAAAATTCAATTTAATTCCGATAGGTACAACAACACTCAAGAATGATTTCTATAGAGAGACACCCCCCTGGGACATCCCATGTAAGCATAATTTATATATTCCGTATAAAGAGAAGTATATACCTATCCATGAGTAAAAATTATTAATAAGTGTGGCCTGAAAAGTTTATATGTTGCAAATCTTCCAATGTTGGGGGTTTATTGCAGAAATAAGACATACCATTACGAACCATGACTAAAACACATGCAGGACTCTTATACGATATATATACCTCGCTCGAGATGAACCTTTCCATATATGCGCACATGCAGGCTAACATAAACAAGTTTTACTGCCCCAGTAAATATGAAGTCTGTTTCTTCTACAAAAGCGTAATAGATTTTGACCGATTCGAAGTGTAAAATAAATAACCTAAAACGTTGCCATAAAAGAGGGGTAATTTTCCAAAGTCAATCCTCGGCCGCGAGCTACAGGGATTTCACCGTCTGTAGTTATTAGTGCATGATGTATGAAATGCTTTGTATATCGGAAAGGAATACGGCCTTAAATAAAGTGAATTTCATTGCTTTAAACAAAGCTAAAAACTTTTGCCGCTCCAACGAAAGCATAAATCGCCTTCACAACCGCGTCCGGCTGTCCCCAAAGGCGTATAACTTTCCACTGCTCCAAAAGCGGTGCAAACAAAGCAGCGTGATAACTTTCACTGTGTGTTTATGCCAAGGTTTAATAACTTTCAACCCGTTAACGCTTCACGAAGCGTAAATAAATTCCAAATAAAGCTTCAAACAAAAGTATAATAACTCTCCAGTCTCCACGGCTTCGACAAAAGCGTAAATAACTCAATAACCGCTTTCTCAAGAGCGTAATAATCTCTCACCGCTTCTACAAAGCGTAATAATTTTCACCGCTTCAACAAAAGTGTACTAAACTTTCACCGCTTCATGCACAAAAGTGTCATAATTTTCACCGCTTCCCCGAAAGCGTAATAATTTTCACCGCTTCAACAAAAGCGTAATAATTTTCACCGCTTCCCCGAAAGCGTAATAATTTTCACCGCTTCAACAAAAGCGTAATAATTTTCACCGCTTCTACGAAAGCGTAATAATTTTCATAATAATACTAATTTTCCATTGCTTAAAGAAGAAGTAATGTAAGTGATTGTAATGAAGAAGTAATGAAGTAATTCGTTGTAAAATGTGAAAAAATACTGTTTTTCATGCCTTTTATATCAACCTAATCCACTGAAACGATTATACTTGAATGACATCTACCCCCATTAAGTTTTATGGTATTGTTTGCTAAAACTCACAATGAGAGTACATGCAGTAAGTCAAAACAAACGAACTAACAAATTTATGGCCTAATGCATCTATTATAATACATCATGACAAGCGAATTCATTTATTCATAGATATAGACGAATTATTTCAGCTTTCTGGAAGTGGTGTTAAGTTGTAGAATGGAGGATCGATCTTAATACGAAAATCACAAAGAAAAAAAATCTATTAAATGGTCATAATTACATATAATTATACTAAATGACATTGGTCGGAAAAGTGAACTTCTGGGAAATGTCCGGTCTTAGATAGGGATACGAAATTACTGATATGCCACAGAATAAGTTCACGGAGACAAAGGGGATATGAAGGGATTTTTCTTTTACTTTGATTGATTCTTACAATTGTTTCACAAATATAATTAGATGCAAGCAGGCCTCTCCTGTATGCCAAACTAGCTGGATCATTTCGTTAGGCAGATATGAAGCGTTGATAATGTCTAAAACTTTGATCAAATTGCTTGAGATAAAACATAATTATTACGCTTATGGCTCTATATTTGTAAACGACTATTATAGTGTACATTATAGTTTGGCAAACGAGCGTTCATCGAACGAACACTTTCCAAAAGTCATTTTTTGATATTGTGTATCCATGGTTTTTCTCCCAATCGTCGCATTCCCAACGCCCTTTTGATTGTGAAGTTAGCCAGTGAACCTGATTACAAATAAAGGCCAAATGATCGAATAATCGATGTGGAACTGGGAAACTATCATGATGCCATTTACCAACTCTATATTGTCCCGATTCACGACCCCACTGAGAACACTGACTGGCCAGAATTGAATTGTCATCAGGTAAGCGATAATAAGATCCACAGCTCTTCGGAAGGGTGTTTGTCTGAGCAGTAAAATACTTAATAACTTCTTGACCAAGATTGTTGGTTTTATTAGTAGCGATATCAAAGACTCGTCCCGGAATACGACAGAAAAATCTGAGTTGATTGAACGACATTTTTGATGCGAGGTCGCGAAGAGCAAATGTTGATATCGCAAGCTTTTGGTTTTTGTATTCACTGATTTGTTTATAATCATTTGCCAGAAAAAAATATATTCCTTTCGACTGATTTAGGACCAGGTTACTAACCAGTGTCCAGCCACCTATAAGGTACAAAAGTTTTGTGATGTATTACATATCAAGTCTGACGATTTGACTTTAAAATAGAAGAAAAGACGAGCTATTTGGCTATGTTAAAAACTGTTGGTCGAAAAGCACATTTTGTAACGATAGAGAATTAATTTTTAGAAAAATTAAGATAGATACAACATTTCATAATAAATATTATTGCAATAATGATACCTCCATCACTTTTCATATCACAGTAAACTTTTAATCTTTTATTGTCCAATTTAATCCAGTATTCACCATTTCCCAAATATGCTGATTTTTTTTCGTTGAAGAATGTCCAAACAGGATTTTCCAGGATTGCTGTTTTCACCGACCTTTAAAATAACGACATTTCAAATTGCAACAATATATTTAGTACTTAGTTACAATTATGCACACAAGTGCATATTAACGTAATAAGTTTTGCGAATATTATAAAACCTCTGCTTTCGTCAATGAAACAATGCTATCAAATTTTTATTTTTATCGTTAAAAAGTGTCGATGAACTGCAGTTCAAACTAGTAGCAGCCCCTACAGCAGAATTAGGGTGTGACACAGTGGCATCATCCGCGTTGCATGTAGGTATATATAGGTAGGTTTAACTGGCTAGTCTGCTCTTCAGACTTGGTAAACTATAGAACTTGCCAATTAGGTTATGGAGTGGTTTAATTTCATTGTAGAAATGGCTAGAGCAATATAAGGTGGCTCCTTATACAGCTTCTTTTAATTGTAAATTGTTTGACCAAAACAAGAAACAAAGAAAAATGGTGTATCCTGATTTTCTCTATTATACAAATCATTATAGTTATTTCTTTCTTTCTTTAGACCTTGACGGTTGTCTGAATAATTTTTTACATGCCTTAGTATTTATGATTTACCACTATTTTGAAGTTGCTATACCGTTGAACATTTGACCAAAGATTTGGCCACTCTCGGGCTATGCATTAGCTCTCAAATATTTCTAAATTCTACCCAAAATATTCCGCCTACCACTCCATCAAGACGCATCAATACCCAATCTCCTTTTTTTGAGTTGTCTCTGTTGTTCAAGACGTTTGTGAGTTGACAATTGTCATGACTTTGTGTTGTTCTGTAGTTGAAACCAACACATTTTCCTTCACCATTGCAGAGGGTGTAACATTCAAACATGGCAAACTCCGATGTTACGTTGTGTCTTGATATTATTTCATCAGAGGGTAAGGACGAGCCTGCTAAATATGTTTAATCATATAATTAGCGGAATGATATTTTGAATAGGAAATGTTTAATGGTTTTGCTGATGTAGGTATGTGCTCTAAATAAGGCATCCACTTACGTTTTATTGCCTTGAAGATAACTGAAACTGATTTTCCTGACAAAATTTTCAACAGGTAAACAACAAGCAAAATAGCCCACCTTTTATTGTGGCGTCGTATTTCTTCTGAGAGCAACTGCTGGCGTTAATATTTGCAGTTACAAGTAACAAGGTCAAGCTTGTGACAATAAGCTTAATCATCACCAGTCTTTTTTGACTGAGTAATACAAAACGTCTTCTTGATTTTGTGAGGAAGGCATGGGTAAAAATAGCGACAGCCCTCGCAATGATTTTGTCTATTTAAAGGAAAGTAAGAGGACTGAAACTTTCCTCATTAACAGTGCCAGTGGCGTAGCCAGCCTGACGATTTTGTTCCGCTATGTAAATTTCGACCTATTACAATTATTCATTTGCTTGAAAATTTATTGTTTTCACAGTCAATGAACATGAAATATTAGCATAGCGGGAAAAATCGTCAGGCTTGATACGCTACTGTTGAGCAAGCATAACAATAGCATTTCTTATAATTGCGTCAATCCTGTGAGGTAAACGTCAAACGAAATTTAATTTGCTCCGCAAAATTATCAAACTTATCAAAATAAACTGTAATATCAGGCTTCCGTGTTTTATGTCATTATAAGCTTGGTCATTTTTGAATTTGATATTCACCCTTGTGAAATTTATGAATAATTATGAGGTTTATGCCCAAATGTCGTCAAAAACTACAGTTAATAGACCAAACCTAGACTACAACATATGTATTGTTTTTTACTGTATTGTATTCTACGCAAAATCACCCGCCATGTTGTTTGCGTAGTTGGCACATGCAGGCTTGGGAAATTTCCCTCCTCTCATCATACCCCGCGCGCTGTTAATTGTTGAGATACTCATGTAATAGTAAGCCTAGGCCTCTGCGAAGGAGAGAGATCCTCACACCTGCAGCTGATGCTCAACTGAGTAGCAGAAATTAAGGCGCTGAAGTTAGCGCGAAGAAGCAGGAAGTTAAGTGAGCCGCTAGCCGACAATAAGATGGTAATATACAAATATATCACATATGCGACCCAGGATATCATTAGATTAGCAACAATTATGATTTGCCGCGTTTCATAATAAGTCTTGCGCAAAAAAGATGCGCTTAATATGTTTTTAATTAAAATTCACTGAGATATTAGTGTTCTAAGTTGATAACTACATCATATTTATAGCTGCGTCCAAATTACGCAAAATCGTCGTATAGCAGCAAATAATAAGAGAGGCATTGCTCGCGTTAAAGAATTAATTGGACATTATCTGAACTTATATTTCAATAAATCTTCGCGACAATTTGTAGTGAATAGTGCGAGCTTCAGTTTATATATATATTATATATATATATATATATATATATTATATATATATATATATATATATATATATATTATATATATATTAGTATATAAGTAATATTTATATATTAAGTATATTAGCAAATTTACTTATGATGAATAATATAATATCCCCATGAATTTCCTAAAAATACAACTTATTAAAAAATACAAATATAAAAAATAAAAATCTAAGTTAGTTCATCCTCCAACTAACGTGTCTCATTTCGAATCAAACCGGTAAATGTAAAAAATAATTATTAAACCTGAGCACAATACATGCACCTGAGTAAATATAGTTTTCAATCGCTCATAATCAGTATACTTTTCCTTTCATGCACATGACACTTATCTTCTTACTGCATATTATATTTGCGCAAAAAAATTGAAAATATTTTGCCAGACTACAACCTTTCAAATACTTAATTAGAGCAACAATTTGGCTATATGAGTCATTTACACGAAAATCAAGTTTTCATTTTTAAATACCTTAAGTTGCCGTGGAAAATATCAAAACCAAAATTTTTCAACAAAATTTCCTCCCTGCCAACGCGCCGCTTCTCTTTCATGAACTGTGCCAAGTATATACTTGTAGTTTTCCGGACAAAACTTGAATTGTTCGATGCAAAATCTGCTATTTCCCTTTCTGGACAAATTCTCCCGTTACGTTCATATGGCGATAACAATTCCGTTTGAAAGCAACATACGGCCTCCTACCGTCATTCTTAGCGGGCATCGCTACCACGCGAATTTGCATATCACAGTTTGAAGCAGCATCATGTTAAAAGTTTCTGCAAGTCGCCAAATAATTATTTTGTAATTGACGTTTTTTGACTCAAAGATTTTTCTTCTCCTGATATTGTCATGAATTTTCCTCTGCATGCAATCATGTAGCCCATTGGCGTAGCCAGCCCGACAATTTAGTCATCGGCTATGCTAATATTTTGGTGTTCATTGACTGTGAAAACAATGAATTTCTAAAGAAATGAATAATGATAATAATGAAAAATTTGCATAGCATGACTAAATCGTCAGGCTGGCTACGCCACTGATGTAGCCGTATTTTATGGAAAAACTGGCAGAATTATTTATGATTAAAAGCGTTGATATATTAACATATTTTTATATATTAGGCGAATCCGTGACATTTAATTTTGAGTATAAAAACGTCCCACTATTGCTTTTAATAGTGAATATTAGATGTCACAAATTCTGATCTATTATCGGGTTTGTTTATATTTGTTATGACATTTGTTCAGATTAGTGATCGAAGCTAACTGTTCTAATGACTACTATAACAAGCGGGCTTTCTGCACAAAACAATACACATACACATGCACACGCGTTGCTTTGGCGAAGGGGTTTGGGGGAAGCACTGCAGAATGTAATTCTTTGAGGACAATCTTTCATCCTTGCTATATCTAATTATTAAATCCAAGTTTGGTCGTTTTGACCGAATAAGGTATGGGTTGTTTTGGACACGTTGAGCGAGGGAGAATATAAGGAGAACCTTTTTTATGAGATGACAATTTTATATTTTATTACAAAGCTATTTTTGTCAGTAGCGTAGCAAGCCTGTCGATTTGTCCCGCTATGCTAATATTTTGGTGTTCACCGACAGTGAAAACAATAGATTTCTAAAGACATGAATAATTATAATAACTCAAAATTTACATAGCGGGACAAAATCGTCAGGCTGGCTACGCCACTGATTTTTGTAATCGTCGTATGTGTGTAATCTACTCGCAACCGTATTTGAAAACTTCGCGACACTGCGGGCTCAGGCGGGAAACGGTCAAAACAGGAGCAGATATTACAGTAAAAGAGGAAGAAAATGTTGAGGCATGAGAACAATGGAGAAATGGATCGAGATATACGCAAGGGGTTTGCGTTAGACGGTAAAGACTTGTTGGTGTTTGTGAAAGATCAGCAAGAGTTCGAAAGGCGTAAAGTAGATGAGAAATGAGAGGAGAGACAGCGAGAGCGTGAGATTAAAAAACTAGAGTCGGAGGAGCTGAAATCGAAAGCTGAAACGTGAGCTCGAAGAAAAAGAGCGGGAGCTAGAGAGAAGCCCAGGCGAGGGAAAGAGAGGCGGCACGTAGACATGAATTATTTGAGATGAAGCAGCTCGAAGTAAAACGAGCAAGCGAAACAGTCGGAGGTGTTAATGCCGAGGAAAGGCAGCAGC